TTAGAACAAATTTTAAAGTCTCATTAGAGCCACCATCACACAGTAGAAACAACAGTTAACTTTACTTTGCAAAGAAATCAACAACTCCTCAAGACAGCAAGTGATCGATGTGTAATGATCAGCTCTTCATAGTGATAAACGTAAATATTTTATGGAGTGAGCCCAGTCTGCAGCAGGGACTGGAGGTGTTAAAGAGCAGCTGTATTTGACCCCGTGGGAATCAAAATGGCTCTTGTCATGGCTGACTGAGCACCTTGGGCACTATTCTGTGAAAGTCTGAAAAGAAACCTTAAAAAGTCGGGCCAGGTCTCATTTACATTTCACTTTCAGCAACAGACAAGAGTGGATGGACACAGATTACCTTGACCTTATTATTGCTGTGAGCTGCTCAGTTATAAGATCATCCAACCAAAGCATCAGCATCAGCATTCACTGTCAAATGAGGACAAAATGATCAACCTTTCCAATGAAGAGCTTCGTTAATTGCTAAAACATTTTCAACACAGCACTTCTAAAAATACTAGTTTTCTTTCAAAAACTTCAATAATTTGTATTTATTTATACACAATACCAGAATTATTTCAGAAAAACAAAAACTACCATGATCAATATAATCAGGCCTCAGGAGATTGAACCATGGCAAAAACCACTGCTGTTCAATGATGCGCTTTGACTTGGTAATGTTCAAAGCCAGTCTGAGCGTTACCTAAAAATGTTCTCACAGAATAAAAAACCCACCAAGGGTTTGGGCTATAACATTAAAAAGCTTTATGCCAAAAACAAAAGACATCAGTTTAGACTCAAGAAAAAGAATCGTTGACACCCACAAAGCAGAAAATAGATATATAAAATTATCTCAGTCTTTCCAAGTGTCAAGAACTGAAATAAGATGTATCAAAATCAAGAGCCACTTAGTACAGAACACACCTGGCAGAGGGAGGAAGTACAAGATTTCAAAGACTCTGGAAAGAAAATTAGTGAGAAATGTGTCTAAAGACCCCAGAACAACTTCAGAGACAATGGTGCATGGCTTAGCCCACTGTAGCCTCAAAGATGACAATGATTAGAACCCTGAACAGTAATAGACTGTCAGGTTGCAGACCAAGAAAAACTCAGCTTCTGTAGAAGAGACACCTTCAAGCCAGACTGAAGTATGTGGACAACCTGGAGAAGAGAGTTGAAACTGGAGACCTTTGCTGCTTATTCATGGAGAAAGAAGGCAGAGGTGTACAAGCCAAATAAAAAGGGTGAAACACGGTTGTGGAAGTATTGTGCTGTGGTGATGCTTCAGTAGTGGGATCTTGTAAAGGTGGCAGGAATCATGAAAAGGAAGGATGTGAAAGTTGAACTTTCTTGACTGGCCTACACAAAGCCCTGACCTGAGTCCTACTGAAAAACTGTGGGGTGACTAAAGTCCATGCCATAAGAACTTCAAATATGGAGGAGCTTGAGAGGTTGAAGAAAGAAGAATAGGCTGGGATTGCTCAGTATGTAAGACTTGCTGAAAACGACAACAAATGATTGTGGGCTGTTATCCAGTAAAAAAGTTACACAACTCCCTATTAGCAGCAGGGAGGCTAAGAATTGGGACCCTGGTATTCCTTGTGGAATAATTTAGTTTCTGTCTGCAAAGTTAAATAATATGAGCATCCAAAATAAAACTTGGATGTTTGGAAGAGCTGTGGCCGTTTGCCGCTCATTTGTGAGTTGTGACTTTGAGTCCAAATTATATATTTATATATTTATATTTAAGATCCACACGCCTCCCACCTTATGCAACACAATAATCAGGATTTGGGTTCTTTTCTTATGTAATCTGAAGTTGAGCTCCCCTCTTCCACACTAGTCTGAAAGTACTTTTCTCCACACGCTCGAGGATTGAAGGTAGGTTCATACGCC